TGCGGGCCGGGGGCGCGCGCGTCCTCCCGGAGCTCCTCTCGTCCGGGCCCTGGAGTCCCGGGCCCAGGACCTCTCGGGCCTGGGTCAGAGGTCACGACGAGCTTCCCGCGAGGGGCCCCGTGAGCCAAAGGTCACGCCGGACCTCACCCGCTCGAGTCCTCCCGCGCCCCGACCCCCGCATCCCGCACCTCCCGCATCCCCGACCTCACTTGCCCGGCTTAGCTCGGCTGCCCGCGCCCCGCTCGAACGTCTCTCTCGGGTCCTCAGAGGGCGCGCAGCCCACAGGTGCGGATGCAGCCGCCCTCCCCCGCGCCCGCCCGCCCTCAGCCCGCGGAGGGTCACCGCGAGGTGCGGAGCTGCGGGGCGGGCCCGGCCCCCGCGTCGCCCAGCGCCCCAGCTCCAGTGGCGGGTCCCAAGGACGTCTCAAACTCGCCCCTCTCTCCTCCCCCCAGGAGCAGATCCCGACTTTGCTCCGACATCATTTATTTTCTGGATTTCTGCAGCAACCTCCTGACCCGGTCCCCGCGCTTCCCGCACACTTCCACCTGCCACAGTCACTGGTCCGAAATGTGAGTCTGAGCCTGCACCGCCCTTCACCCGCACAGCCACCCGGACGGGCACCGGCACTGCCCCGCCCGCCCGGCGCCCTCCGCAGCCCCTCGGCCCCGCCCCTGTGGCCCTCCTTTATCCTTTATTGACAGCTTTCAGGAGTTCGGGTTCTTTTAATGATCCTCCACCTCTCTCACAGGCTGCAAAACATAGTTCCTCTCCTCCTCTTTCAGTGTCTCTTACTTGAGTAACCCCTTTTTTTTTTTTGGACCGGGGGCGGGGGCAGCCGGGAATTTGCTGTGGATTGAATCCAGAGCCTCAGACCTCAGACAGGAGAAAAGAAAAAGGAGAGAGAGGGCTTTCCTCTTGTGTGTAATAGGTACATGTCATGAACCATGAACTTTTGAGGGATGGGGTATTCATGCTTAATGGGATCAGAGGTTTTTTTTTTTTATTTTATTTTTAACTTATTCTTTATTGTGTGTGCTGGTCCTGGAGCTTGAACTCAGGGCCTGGGTACTGTCCTTGAGCATTTATGTTTCGGGCTGACACTCTACCACTTGAGCCACAACTCCACTTCCAGCTTTTTTGGTGGTTCATTAGAGAGAATATTTTCATGGACTTTACTGCCTGGGCTGGTTTCAAACCATGATCCTGATATCTCAGCCTCCTAAGTAGCCAGGATGACAGGTGTGGGCCACCAGCAGGGTCTTAATTTAATTTGGAAGTATTTGTCAAATAAAGATGAAATAATGATTTGACATACATACACTCTGTGTAATGACTATCACAATCAGATTCGTTAACATCACCCATGCTGAACCATCCATCCCCAGAGCTGATTCATTTTATAATGGAAAGTTTATACCCTTTGATCGGTATCTTTCCGTGCCTCCCATCCTTCTAGATGCAAAAATTCCACATTGGTTCTGGCACTTGAAAAATGCTCTTGCTGGGCTCTTTTGCTCTTGGCTGCTGTTTTACCAGTTGAGCCACACCTCTAACCTGCTTTTTGCAGGTTGGTTAGAGAGATTTGTCTGGCTCTGATGTGTAAGCCTTACATCTTAACTTCCTGCATAGCTGGGATTATAAGTGTGAGATATTGGTGCTTCACACACAAAAAAATAACTAAAATGAACTCATAACAAAGAGGGTTATTTTATGTGTGTTTTGTTTTGCATTAAGATATAGTCTCACTATTTAGCACAAGCTCTTGCCCCATTAACCAGAGAATAAAGAGAATGCTTAACAGAAACACAGTTTATGGTAATTTGTTGTAGAGGCCTTAGGAAATTAAAGCAATCATCTATACTTAAAAAAAAAAATCAAATCGGGCTGGGGAGGTGGCCTTGCATGCCTGAGGCCCTGAGTTTGATTCCTCAGCACCACATAAGCAAAAAGAAAAAAGCCGAGCCGGGCGCTGGTGGCTCACGCCTGTAATCCTAGCTACTCAGGAGGCTGAGATCTGAGGATCACGGTTCAAAGCCAGCCCGGGCAGGAGAGACCGTGAGACTCCTATCTCCAATAAACCACCAGAAAACCGGAAGTGGCGCTGTAGCTCAAGTGGTAGAGTGCTCGCCTTGAGCTGAAGAGCTGAGGGACAGCGCCCAGGCCCAGAGTTCAAGCCCCACGACAAAAAAGCCGGAAGTGGCACTGTGGCTCAAGTGGTAGAACACTAGCCTTGAGCTGAAGAGCTAAGGGACAGCGCCCAGGCCCCACGACCCAACCCCCCCCAAAAAAAAATCCATGGAGCTGGGTGCGTGCTGGTGGCTCACCCCTGTAATCCTAGCTACTCAGGAGGCTGAGATCTGAGTATTGCAGTTCAAAACCAATCTGGGCAGGAAAGTCCCTGTGAGACTCTTATCTCCAATTAACCACTCAAAAACCAGAAGTGGCACTATGGTTCAAGTGGTAGAGCCCTTGCCTTAAGCTGAAGAGCTTAGGGACAGCACCCAGGCCCAGAGTTCAACAAAGGACCCCCCCAAAAATCTATGGCCCCCCAAAAATCCATGGTTCCCTTATTCCCTTGTAATGCTATTACGATTCCCTAGTAATCCTATTGCCACCTCGAGCTCACTAAAATCTAGCTGAAGAAGAAGAGGGGTAAGGAAAGAGATCTCAATACCAGGTTGGAACAAAGCAGAGTACCCACAAACCCAGGAAACAACTGGCTGACAAATCCCGTTGCGGGTGTGCGCCCTCTACTGGAGAGATGGATGAACTTCACCTTTATTCACCTGGACCCGTTCCCAAACTGCTGCAAAAGCTCAGAACTTCAAAACAGATGGTGCTTCCAGGGGGCAGCGATTAGGGCATCCTAGGAGGCAAATAAAGCCCATCTATTGGCTTGGAGATACCACACTATGTACTATCCATACTAAAAGTGTACAAATTGTGTCAAAAGCTATTCAGCTAGCACACAGGCATTCAGAGAATGTATTTAAGAATTAATTCACTGTGTAGCCGGTGCTGGTGGTTCACACCTGTAATTCCAGCTACTCAGGAGGCTGAGCTCTAAGGATTGTGGTTCAGAGCCAACTCAGGCAGGAAAGTCCATGAGACTCTTATCTCCATTTAATGACCACCAGAAAACCAGAAGTGTGGCTCTGTAGCTCAAAGTGGTAGAGCTCTAGCCTCAAGCAAAAGAGCTCAGGATCAGTGCATCCAGGCCCCGAGTTCAAGCCATATAATCAGAAAAAAAAATTCACCTTGATGGACAAACTTTTTTTGTGTATGTGCTAGTTCCTGGGGCTTGAAATCAGAGCCTAGGTGCTGTCCCTGAGCTTCTTTGCTAAAAGCTAGTGCTCTGCCACTTGAGGCATACTCTACTTCTGATTTTTATTCTAGTAGCTTATTGGAGATAATAATCTCACAGACTTTCCTGCCTCATCTGCCTTCAAACCACGTTCCTCAGACCTCAGCCACCTGAGTAGCTAGTTTGGATTAGAGGTGTGAGGTACTGATGCCTGACAATTTTCTTTTTCTCTTCTTGATATTAGAAAAGTTTTCTCTAGGGTCTGGGAAGGTGGCTCAGTGGTAGAGTGCTTGCCTCACATGCATGAGGTACTGGGTTTAATTCCTCAGCACCACATAAACAGAAAAAGCTGGAAGTGGTGCTGTGGCTCAAGTGGCAGAGCACTAGCCTTGAGCTGAAGAGCTAAGGGACAGCGCCCAGGCCCAGAGTTCAAGCCCACGACTGACAAAAATAAAAATAAAAAAATAAGTTTTCTTCATGGAGCCAAAATGTACCTAAGTATCTTATCCAAGTGGAAAAACAGAGGATAGAAATCATGCATTTGCTGCTTTCTTCCTTGCTTTTTTTTTTTTTTAAATTTATTCCAGTACTAGGGCTTGAACTCTGGGCCAAGGAGCTATCCTCGAGCTTTTTCACTCAAGGCTGGAACTCTACCACTTGAGCCACAGCTGTACTTATGGCTTTTTGGTGGATGATTGGAGATAAGAGTCTCATGGACTTTCGAGGTGGGCTTCAAACTGATCTCCCTGAGTAGCTATATGATAGAGGGAGCCAGTGGCCCTGGTTACTCTTTCTCCCCTCACCCCTCTCTTCAGTACTGGGATTTGAACTCCAAGCCTTGGGCTTGCTAGGCGAGTTCACTACCAACCACTAGAGTCCTGTTCTTCCATTTTCATTTGTATGTGAATTATTTTATATAAATGTATGACTATCAACGTTAAAGCAAGTTGAAATGTTGCAGTGAACAAGATTCATGAGTTCAAATCTATTTATTTTGTTTTCCTGTTGCTGGGCTTTGAACCCAGGGCTGCAAGTGCTCTACTACTGAGCCATGTACCAGTCAGATTAACTTCATAACAATTATAAATTAACCTATTATGTTTCTCTTGACAATACTAGGGTATTTTTCCCCCAATGCTAGGGATAGACCTGAGTAAATGTTATAGATACATGTCTAGTGCTGGATGCTTTTTTACTTACAGTTTTTGCCGATCCTGGGGTTTGAACTCTGTGTCTGGACACTATCCCTGAGCTGCTGCTGCTGCTGCTTCTGGTTTTTTTGTTTGTTTGTTTTGGTTTTTTTTTTGGTCATGCGGCTTGAACTCTGGGCT